GATCAATTGCAATTTATTCAAACACATAATAAAAAAAATTGGAACCCAAAGGTTATTCAATTGACTTTGACATATCCTCTTCAATAGAAGATAAAGATGTTCTTCAAAATGCTACTTTTATTTTACGGCAAATTATTCAGTATATACATAAAACACTTTAACCAAATAATTTAAGATCTGATCTGATGTAAAGCGAGTGAACATATTACATTTGCGATGTTACTAAAGAGCATTACTAGTTTTCGAAAGGTAATTGAAATTATTAATCGAAATGGCCATTGCTGTAACTACCATACAATTAAGGAATTAGAAACGGAGGCAACATTTTCATCTTGTAGTCGATCGAAATTCTGTCCTGAAAATTTGTTACAGAAAAAGGTTTGTATATTAAACGTAACTGCTCAATTTTATATGACCTTGTTGATTGTTATTATATTTTAGTCTCATATCGAACGAAATGACGATATTTCCTTATTCGAATACATTTTGTCAAAAATTAATAAAAAAAATTTCGTGACAAATCAGACATTTAACGAATTCTATTTCTGCTCACCAGCGTTGTTCCAAAAGTTATTAAATCTGGTCCACAATAATATTACAAACTTACCAGGCTACTGAACTCTAAAAATGTCGAGATGTTGCAGCAGATTTAGAAAAACATGATTTGATATGAGGTTCAAAGCAAATTGAATTATTTGTCGTTGATTTCTCCAACTTCATTAAACCTTTGTCTCCACGATATATAACCAAAAGCTTTTCAATATGTTCAGCAGAAAAGCAGCTTCCAGTGAAGTATAGGATTATTCCTGCAAAGGATTTTTTTACATTTTCTTACAGATTTTGATCTCCCAAAAACAGAAAAAATATTCAAATTATTATATCACATAAGTTTTTATGTATATTGCAGTATCTATGTTCATTGGTAATAAACCTATATGATTTTTATTTGATAATGGAGAAAAACAACCTGAGCTGTTGGTGAGACAGGGAATGTTTTAACATGTTGAGACAAGTCAAATGACGTACACTTTTACACAATTATATGCAAACTAAAATTTAAACACATAATTTTTAATTAATAATAGCGGTAATCATTTCTTCTTTGATTTGCTTTCTCGTTTTTTATTCTCTGCTACAATCTTTTCCCGTTATTTTGGCGCAAAATAAGTTCTAGCATATTAAGTCGCATTTATACCTTCAATTGACGCCTAGTGTATATCGCTTGAAACAAAGAAAAGCTCTCAGTAGACATACTGATATTCGAGTGAACAGTGCTGTTGTCTGTTAATCATGGCTACAAGGGGTTGTGTTATTTCTCCAAACAGTTTTTGTTATATCTGTGGTGAATTCGCTATTAAAAGTCAATAGAGAAATATAAGTGATTTTGTAAGGAAAGTTCATTTTGCCTACTTCAAATTAAAAATTGGTGATCAAGATAAACCATGGGCCCCGCATAAGGTGTGTAGAAGATGCGAAGAAGATCTTCGTTTGTGGTTTAAGGGAAAGAAAAATGCATTTCGATTTGGAATTCCTATGATATGGGATGAGCAGAAAAATCACACCACTGACTGCTACTTCTCCTCAGTTGACGTAAAGGGATTCAATTCAAAAAACAAAAGAAACATAAGTTGTCCTAATCTTGACTCAGCTATACGTCCAGTGCCCCATAGCTCCGAGATATCTATCCCGCAGCCACCTTCCTGTTTGGATAAATACCCTAGTGAGTTGGAGAACGAAGCTACATTGCCTCCTCCGGGTATTTCGATTAGAGCAGACAACACGACGGCAGTGTCATATATTAATAGAATGGGGAGCATTCAGTTCCCAAAATTGAGTCTTCTTGCCAGTGAAATATGGCAGTGGTGCGAGATTCGTAATATTTGGGTCTTCGCCTCCTACATCAATTCAAAGAAGAATTTCCGGGCAGATAAGGAGTCACGCATAATAGAAAAAGATACAGAGTGGTCGTTATCAGAAAAATCATTTACTGCCATCACAAATCACTTCGGTCTTTGCCAAACAAAGGTTGAACACCTGGATGGCAAGAAGATTTATAGACTTCTGGCAGAATCTTGCAGGATTGGCTTACTCCAAGGTGTTTATTCACACTTCGAAGCTTGATACCAAACAGTTGTTGGACTATAGTAGGGATGAACTACGATGTCTAACAGGCTTTCTTACAGGTCACTGTCATTTGAATTATTATATGCAGCGACTCGGACTATCGGAAGATAGTGTGTGTCGCCTCTGTTTGGAAAATGATGAAACAGCAGAACACATACTTTGTGCCTGCCCCGCTGGGGACCGAATCAGGTTTTTAGAGTTCGGCAGAGCTGTACTCTTACCATCTGACCTGAAGAACCACTCACCATACAAACTAATCGGATTCGTTAAGAAGCTGAGTTTATTCGGTCGAGTGTGAATAGGTGTGAGCCACAATAAACCCATGCTGTTTCCAAAACAAATATAATGATGGGAAATAATGATAGAGACATCTCAATGACCGTGTTAGGAAACATCAATTATCTTGAGAGCGACTATCTCGAGATTTCCATGGAATATGGCACTGGAAACGAAAAAAAGGTGTATAAATGTAAGAAAATCATACCTTGAATCAGTGCCATCGTTGTGCAGCAGTTTACCCGGCTTCCATGCAATATTCAAATGTGCCTGGGGCCAGTGCGCAGCGACATACAGAACACAGATCCAGTCGTTTATGAACGCGTGCCTAAGGGCCACCGTAAACCCTCCAAGATATGTACCGAATAGGTACATAATTCAGGATCTCGACCTGAACATACATTACGTAGACACATATATGAGACAACACGCAGAAGACGCGTTTGACAGAATTCGAGTGCACGACAATCCAGCGCTGAGCAATCTACACAATGCACTAAACAGGGATGACCCCAGATATCGACGGAGAGACAAGCATAGAAGGCCAACCAAGCATAACCAACGAACATCTCCGAGAGTCGCTGTCAGGTGGTTCCGGTAAGTATAAAACTTTCTCTAACAGATAACAAACACTTTCTTTTCAGGTTCAACAAGAAATACTCGACCGCGATCGCTTTTTCAACCCTGCGTCCGATATGTGGACTCCTGTAACATTTATAGACACGTGGGGTGTGTGAGACCCCAATATAATTTTTCTGTTAAAATTGACATTTTTTTGAATATCAACATTGTTGTTATGAAAATTTCATACTGTGATATTTTTTTTGCAATAAAATAATTTTAGATTTACCAAAACGAGCAAAAAATCGTTATATTCCGTCTTTACTAAAACAATGGGTTGGAAGGAATAGATTTACTCGAAGAAGTCTTTTGCACATAAAACGACTAAATTAATATCAAATTGCTGGTTCAAACAGATAATAAAACATCATACATCAGACATAAAAAAAATATTATCGAAAATCATAAAAAAAAGTTATAGGTCATCAATATTTGCCATTTTTACGCAAGATTTGCAGTTCATTTCAGCATGGTCCAGACATACGTCAAACGACGACTGATTCGAGGTGTTTGTCAACCTACTAACCTTTGAAGCACATGAAGATAATGACACACAATACTAAGAAGTGGACAAATTGTATAGAAGAACTGAACAAATTTAATGGGTTGTTCATGGGCTTAGCTTGGAGAAAGACAACCCCAAGTATTGAGCTGGACCCAATTGCGCCTGAATAGGAAGCAGCGGCCAATAAAGAAAAAAGAAGAAGAAGAATATCAGAGTGGTGGCTATATGCGGAAGCTACTGAATATATCCGACGCTGTGGCGCCAATTTCGAAAAGTTATATGGAATTTCCTACGGCTGGGGTATGTCACACCTCACGTGTCGGAGAAGGTCAGATGTCAATCTTGCTGAAGTACCCATCAGTAAGTTGGGGACCGCTCCAGAGGAGCGGGGGTGGATGGACGAGATGGGATGTTCTGCACACAGTAACCGTGTGGGGAAGATCTCAACTCAGGGCATTCAACCCGGGAGAGGGCATGGGGGGTCAAGCTACGTATAATGCTGTTCACCCGCACTTATATGGAACTTCCTTGATCGTCCTGACGGTGGAAAGTTTTCATCAAATTGATCTGGATTTTTGTAATTATTTGTATCTCAGCATCTAATCTACCCTCTCAAAACGCCAGCGTGCCTTGAAAATAATTTTTTGTTAATCTAAAAAACAATTTTCCAACAGTCATTGAGACCCGAATAATCGATCTGGTTTTTTATTTGACAATTTCTCAAATTACAATGTGTTAAAACAACGATAAAAATAAAATAAATACAACAATAAAAATTAATTGGCGCTCCGGGGCGACTTCATTGATTCCAGTGGCGCATTTGCTTTTTCAGCTGCAGGAAAACCCGGAAAAACCTGCAGCACCACATCATCTGAAGATCTTGATCTTGATCTTGATCTCAAATATTCAATTCGAAGATATGAAAATTTCAAAATGTCCCAAAAACTTTTTTTAATTAAAAAGTTTCTCTCATAAAAAATTCAAGGTTGGACTATCTATTGAGGGGTCGTTTAAAAACAATTACAAATAAAATACTAAATATTTGTAAATAGCTCTGGGACTGACAAGGCGAATTCGGGTTCGCTATTTTGAGAGTTTTCGAACTGTCAGATGTATTCACACAAAACAGATTTGGAAAGTTTTGCGCGGGTCTTCTCTCAATAGTTAGCTGGGTAACTACGTCCTAGAATCGTTCAAACTGCGAACCTGAATACGCCTATATGAATCACATTTTACGCGAGCAGCAGTTTTGTCAGTAGTTTCATTATAGTGAAATCGTAAGTGAAGTTTGTAAACCCAAATAAAGTCTGTGGCCCGAACCAAAATTGTAGGAGTTCACTAATTTCTCACAGTACAAAAAACATTTGAAATAACGTTTTTTTTAATTGATAATCATTGAATTTTCATACTGAGAGTAACCAACTCTGAGGCAGCATTCTCTCGGTATACTTGGGTAAATATGTATTGAACTCACCTTATTCTGTATTTACTGAAACAATTCCTGTCAACAATTTGAAATATAACTCGTGTAACAACAGAAAGCACTCACAAATTTTCACACACAAAACAATTTTCCACTACGTTTGAGTAATATACTGAGCAAATATCATAATCATATTTTAATTGATAACGGGACAAATCGAGAGTCTTGATAAAAACACCTGGAGAGTGAGAGCGATAACTGTTCAACTATCCACTGAAATGCAAAAAAATATCTATTTTTTATCAATTCCATTTTAGGTTTTTGATAAAGCATAACTCATATAGTTTATCCATTCCCAATTGGAATGGCAATAGTTGAGGAGTAAAGGCTCGGCTAGCTGGACTGGCTGAATACTAATTTTTTGTCGTTTTACAATATTTCTTTATCAGTGTCGTGTGTTTGTAGGGTTAGGTGAGGTAGTGGGTGGTTTTGCAAACTGATTTTTGAATACTTTTTCTAGAGATCAATTACCCTAACACCAAACTGATATTTTTGCACTCGACGCGCGTTTCGCTAACAAAGTAAGCATCTTTAGGAGAAGCAAATTGATACTGAATCTAAAGACAAGGGTTAGCTGTTTATATACCCAAATATACAAATTAATTTGTCAACAATAGATATGGCATTAATAGATTTTGAAACAAATGATAACATTACGTGTGAGGAATCTGTGCCAATCGACAGGGATCCGGAATTTGAAAATAAGGACTTACATGTTTAAGTTCAACAAGTAATTTTAAATATTCATGAATGCTTGAAGAAGGAAAACTGTCACACTTCACAGAATGCTATTGTGAATAGAATATGCGAGTTGAGGAAACTATCTCATTCGACAGTTCTTCGAGTCATTAAAATAGGGGATGTCATTGACCATGCAATGAAACGAAAACAAAGGAATAAAAAATTCGCAAACGTTGATGGTGCTACAAAAGATGTCATTCGGCGAACAATTTATGGTATATACCAAAATAATTAAGTACCAACCTTGGAAATGATTTGGTATAAATTACTCGACTATCCCGAATACAATTACAAATCTTTAGAAATTCTACGAGGGGTCTTATTGTCTTGTGGTTTCAAATATAAAAAATTGAACAAACGGATGGTCATGATGGAATCGACAAGCATTGTTCAACTCCGACAATAATATTTGAGGCGAATGAAAAGCTACCGAGAATCCAGCAGACATATAATCTACCTCGACGAAACTTGGTTTGACACCCATGATGTTGTCAAATATAGCTGGGTAGACGAAACCAAGTATTGTGCTTTGAACACACCTCCTTCAAGGGGAAAACGTGTTATAATTTTGCATGATGGGAATGAAAGTGGTTTCGTACCTAACGTTTTGCTTCTGTCGGCCAAAAATATAAAAGATTCGTCTGCCGATTACCACGAAGATATGACTGCGGCTTCATTCGAAATCTGGTTCAGTGAGCAGCTTCTCCCAAATATTCCTCCAAACTCAGTTATTGTTATGGATAATGCTTCGTATAATTGTCGGTTATTGACTACAATACCAAACAATAACACAAAGAAGCAGATATTGTTGATTTCGTGCGAAATCATGACATGGAAATATCAGAAAAGATCCCAACGAAAAAGGTATTACTGGCGACCGTGAAACAACGTAATTTCAAAAAAGAGTATGTTATTGGTTCGATGTGGGAAACACGTGGTCATATTCTCTTACGTTTGCCTCTATACTATTGTGTGTTCAATCCAATTGAAATGGTTTGGGCCACAATGATAGAAAGCTTGCGGAAATGTAATTAGTCATCGACTTTGAATGCTGTAGTGCTTGACAATATAAGGCGAGTGGTGAATGAAGTAGGTAATAGTGATGTGTGGAAGAACTGTGTGGCCCACGTTATAAAAGAAGAGAACAAATATTATGTGCAAAGTTCCATAAATCCGATCGTTATTCAACCCGATGATGATTTCACCTCAGCCGATTATAGCGAAGAAAAATTTTGATTTTTCTAGCAATTTTTTGGCTCCTTTTATTTTGTAAATATATGTTTGACGAGAATTCGGTGTGATTATTTGTGTTTGGTGAAAAAATTCAGTTGAGATAACTTTTTCATAGGGTGATCAATTGCTATGATTGTAAGAATAAGTAACTGAAAAACTACCACTAAAAAACAATATGCCGACGCCTATGTTAGCATATTATTTTTTATTGAACATGTTATATCGTTGTTTGAGTATATAACATACAATATACAATACAGTACTTGATACAAAAATAGTGTACTTGAAGATACACAAGATTGAGCAGAGTTTAATTTTTGCTACTTTAATGTTTACAAGAAATGAATTTCACTTCTTTGAACTCAAAAACAGATGTGTCTCTGACCAAGTGACCAAACAGTTTCATGCAATTTGGAATCAATACACTTTCAATCGAATTGTATTTTTTGGACATGCATCATGACGCAATCATGACGCATCATGACGCGCAATCTTGTCAGAAATTCTTGCAAAAAAAATATTCGTTCTAGCGGGGGGATTCGAACTTACGAGCTATGGATCGTCAGTCGAGCACACTGTTACTGCGTCAATTCGCAGCTTTTCGTTTCTGTTTCATTTTTGTTTATATTCATGTTATATGAAATAGTACAATGACTCAATGTTTAGTACTAAGTCGTAAGAACTACACAGTTTCAGTTCGACTTCCACTCAACCATCAATTCAGCAATATTGCATACCTTGAATTCAGCACATCTGAGAATAGAAGACAAAGGCGTCCAAAGTGAGGAGATGCTTTAAAACCAGGAAACGAAGTGTTTTAAATCGATTAGTTATTATTGTATCTTACTATTTTATGAAATGAATGGCTTTTTTAGAAACTATATCCGAGAAACTCGAATATAATAATTGGCGCAGTCGGTAGGATTTCTCAAACGTAGAATTTTAGAAAGAGAAACGAAGAAATGAGTGACATCAGGAAATTCCTACAGTGGTGGTATCAATATAAATTTTCCAATGATATATTCTGTATGATGCGGAGATAACTGGAATATTGTGAAAACTAACTTTGTTCAAATATTTTCATTTCGAGGACAATTTATATTTTGAAATAGTTTTTACTGAGTAGTGGTACCTTCTACAGATCTATAAAATGATCAGAATATTTAATTCAAAACTAAATACAACTGTAGAATACAATACAAACGTGACGTTTGAAAGATTATACATTTTCTTCATCCAACCTATTTGAATCAAAACATTATGATTTGTAGTTATAATTCGTCTTTTGATGTATATCAATTTGATATTATTATCATTGACACTGATAATATCAAATTGATCGTAGGATTGATGAAGATGGATAGTCTTCGAAACGTCATCAGATAAGTATACAAATAGAATAGTTCTGCGGTTGAATATCTGAATTTCGGGTTGAACCGCGTTTAAAGTTTTGCATTGTTCGACGTTTCGGCTTCGACTTTGAAGTCATTTTCAAGAAGTAGAAAAGTGTGGCTATACTGAGAGATACACTTTAGGGTTTTGATGTTCCATTCTTGTCAAACCTTCGAGACGGTATGACTCTCATTGACCCATGTTTCATCCGAATAAAAAATAGATGTTTCCAGTGTCTGGTTTTCTTCATTTCTTCGAAATAGTTTCTTCTTCAATCTCTGATTTTTCTATAAACATACTCTTTGTTTGAATTGAAGGGGTTATATTTTTAGGAGTGATTAATTTTGGGAAAGAAAATTTTTGGTTTTCTACTACTCCATCTGATACAAAAAAAGGGAGTAGTAGAGATGGAGATGGAGTAGTAGAAAGCCAAAAACTTTCTTTCCCAAAAATTGATCACTCCTAAAAATATAACCCCTTTAATTCAAATAAGATTCCTCTTGGCTGGGATTAAATCAAATAGGTGAATGAATGTCATTACGATATCATCGATGACATAAGCAGATCAAGCTTATTCCGTGATATTCAAAATCGTAATTCATGAATGAAGTGTGTGTATTTTCTATAATGTTATCCAATTTGGTGCTGAAGAGCCTTAGGGCAAGTGTCTTAAGGCGAAACATTGGTGTATACCAGTGAGGGTGACAGTGTTCCATGTGAGTACAATTTATTACCATTCATTCAAAGTAGAACTCATGTGAATGATATCTGATTCTTATTCCACAACAAATGTTTGATATACAAACTGAGCAGAGAAAAGTATCTCCTGTATAATTCAGTGTTCATATAGAAGTATTTGTTTCGAAAGAATTTTTTTTTTCGTGTAATTCAATGTTTATATGAAAGTAGCTGTTTCAGGAGGACTTTATTTCAGTTTGTGTCTGAAAGTTACTTCTTTGCATGATCTACACATCCATGTATAGAGTTACTTATTTTCAAATTGATTACTTCCTTCCTTTCTTTGAAGATTCTCTCATCCCTTTTTTTGTATCAGATGGAGTAGTAGAAAGCCAAAAACTTTCTTTCCCAAAAATGCTCTTTGTATTGTAACGGTACCAATTTGTTTCACAAGGTATAATCATTCGTAAACGCCAGAATAACAATTTTCAAGCACCCGTAGGTCCCTCTCTCCTTTTCGTTTGTAAACTGGTGGGCCGTAAGATTACATATTTGAACTATTGTTGTTTGCTTTCATTAAATTAATAGACAGTACCTTTCCAATTAGTTTCGAAGTACTTCCAATGTAGATAGAGTGCGATGTACTACCGTGCTCCAATCTTTAAATATCCCTTTCAAACTCTTTTTAAGTATATTTCGGCATCCTATTGGCGAAATCTTGCACATTTTAAGTTTTTTTTGTAGAACCGATCCCTATGAAAATATATTTTCATACTTGCAACATACCTAGTAGTAGAGGTCATAATTAAAGATCAACTACCGTATCCCTGAAGGAATGTTGATATTTCATTTCATATTATATTTTGAATATCTTAGCGGAATTGTCTCTGGGAGGAAATATTCCCCATAGTATTAATCCTTCCTTTTCTAATCGTTCAGTAGATTGTTCCACTTTGGAAAATGCATTTAAATGATTTGAAATTCTGAAACAGCTCCATTCGATTGCCCATTGGTTCATCACACCTGTCCATGACGTATGGTCATGCGCTGGAATTCATAAAACTCCGTTTCAATATGATGATCCTACGGATTCCATTTTTGAGGTTACTTTGTGAAAGTTCGAAGAAGACCCGCCTGGAAAATTTGTTTATAGAAACATCTCTTTGAGGATTATTTCCGAGGGTCTTCACATAGTGAAAACAGTGCTTGCTTGGGTATAGTATTTGATGTAAATTGGCCTTTCACTCTCTTTGGAGGATGAAAGAACTTCGCGTAAATGACACCAAATCTTCCCCGACTTTTCAGCATCGCCATTGTGGACCTTCAACTTATGTACTTTTTCCTTCCTCTATATAGGACCTGTTGTCGTTTCATAACTTTCTTCAGTTGGTATTCACCATACTATCGGTTGATAATTTACTGGAAAAATTGAAGACATTGCCCAAAAGATTGTGAAATAAAATTCCGATTGGGATTTTTGAAAAACCCTTCCGAAACTTGAAGGTAGGTTTCATTATGGTTTTTCCTTCTGTATATATCATAATAAGCGTATACTTGTTTGATTTTCACGAGCTTGTGGTAAATTTATTTTCTTATTTTTACATGTGAGAATAATCACAAGGTTATACATTTTTTTTAATGAATCGGAAACAATTCATTCGGATTATTCGTAATTTTAAAATAAATTCGGTTAGTTGGTTGAAATTTCAAATAATATTTGTGTTAGAATTTTTTTTAGCTAGGAAAAGGATGCTAATTTTCTTTAATTTCGGAGGAAATTATTTTCCATCAAAAGGTGAATTTTATTTATCAGGAATGGTAGCTACGAAGTTGATTTGTAAAAAATTAATTTCACGATTTCTGCAGTCCTCCGAATGTTTTTTTAATTGCTTTTTGTCCCATTCGTTATCAGCATAGATTTTGTCCTGACCTTCCGATCGAAATCACGAGCGAAATATGTATTAGGATTTTTTAAATTCTCATCATATTTACCGTTCAGGGAAACATTCGACCGGTAATTCAATTGAATAGTTTATTTTTTTTACATGGAACTTCATCCGAGAATATTCATTTTAGAATCTAGGAAAGGAAAATGAACAATATTGGCGACAATTAATGTTTTCTTTCCTCAGTTTTTCAGCTTATACCGGTAAGCTGAAATGTGCTGTTTTTTTACCAAATGATTATTCAGTTTCATTTCCATTATTGAGTTTAGTTTCGTAGAAATTACTTATATGAATAGTTTTGTTAAATATTTCACGGCGAAGTTGTCAGATTTCATGGAAAGCACAGAATTTCGTAAAATAAAAATGAAAGAAACATCGAATTTTTCTTGAAAAGAATGGAATCATTACTTCTGTTGTCCTGGTGAAAAAAAAACAATTCATTATGTTTATATTATTTTGTAATGGTTTATTGGGAAAAAATATACATGCAGCGATTATTTTTAACGGCCAGTGGAATTTTTTTTTGTATCTAAATGCATTTGGTTTTATTCAAATGGGAAAAATTCTAATTCTTTGAATTAGTATTTCTATTTAGAAAATTCACGGTGTTTGAAGTAAAACGAAAGCGAATCAAATTTAAATCATCTAATTATGTCTAATAATAAAAAGTGTAAGGCGTGCGAGCAAGTTTATTCCAAAAAGTCGCAGGTCTTCAGTGTGCAGGTTTTTGCGGTAATTTTTTTCATGCAAATTCTAAATGCTCCGATATATCGAGAGCCCAACCACAGAACACCCTATCTATACAGAAGCGCATCTGAAGCGTTTCCGCTAAATCGCAAGCTTGGCTTGTATATTGTCAACCTCACATTAGTCATTTGTGTAAGTGAGGTTAGGTCTTAGAACAGTAACAATAATACACTCAACTATCAACAACTAAGGATGGCTAGCTACCGAGGTGGAAGTGTTTGTGCCTATCGAGGATGCGACTCTAAATCAAGGAATAGGACGACGTCTCTCTTTAGATTTCCTAAAGATATTGAAAGGTATGGTTTATTATCGCATGGATGAATGCATTTTTGAATAACGTTTCACCTGAATACTTATGAATAAACCATTTTTAGAGCCAAAGATTGGTTGAGAGCTTGCAATCGAGAAGATTTATTGGGCAAATCATCAGAAACTCTTTATGGCCATTATCGTTTGTGTGAACTTCATTTTGAGAGTAACATGTTTTTGAATAAATCCCAGTTGAAGAAATATTTGATTCCTCAAGCAGTCCCAACAGTTTTTGGCCATAACTTCAAACGAAAAGCTGGTGTTCTAGAAGAAGAAGCTGTTAAGCCTGTGAAAGTTAATATTTCATCAGGTAAGAACTTCATACATTCAAATCTCTTTCACGAAATTATTACATAAAAAATCAGAAAACTGGTTTTGTCAATCTGTAATAATAGACTGATTTCAGCTGTTAGATTACGAGTCTTTAGTACTGAACTTGCAAATATTGTTGTTTAATAGATATAGAAATTGCAAAGTTTGTCTAATACTTGGGATTGAAGATTGATCGTCACATGAAATCATACCAGCATATCTGTTCGAACGCAAAAATTCCCTTAGCAAAATTGATCAATATTCAACTGGGGGGCACTGAATGGGAGACGTTTTTATAAATTAGACCAAAATAGTAACTGTTTTCCATACCTATCATTTGAAAATAACTCTGATTTTCAGACATTCAAATAGTTCCACCAACTTCGTATTTGAATCAACCATCCACATCAGGGCAACTATCCGTAGGCTGTGGAACCTTTGAGATGGAAGAATCACCATGCTCAAATATGTCAGGTAAAAATGCGATATCAAAGGGTCGTTTATTGCGATTCACGAAAATTGTAAAAATTTACAATTCATTCATAGGATGTTTTTTGCAGAGAATCTACTTATAAAAGTTGATGAGCCAGAGGAAACTCCTAGCTGCATGATGTCCCCTTCTGCAATGACTCAAACTCCAGCTTCTTTGAGTTCACAGACTCCACGGAAGCAGAAACTCAGACAGACATTGAAGAACATGAAGAAGAAAAATGCTGCCAGAGAAGCTTTGGATACAAAGAAAAAGTTCTCTCTTGATGATTTTGACAAAATTTGTGACCAATTTCTATCTCAAAATCTTGCTGATATTGTGAAAATACAGGCTAGGCTGGAGTCAACGAAGGCAAAGGGAAGGAGATATACTGCAGAGTATAAG